GTGTGGTTGATTCTCACTTATTCACCGAAAGTTTTCTAATAGGTTGCAACCTACTTTAAAATTATTATTATCGAAATAAGCATATACCTACATGGTATTTCATAATCAATTTCATTAAAATTTTAAGTTATTTTGTTTCCCATGTTATTGATTGACTCTTGCTTGCTATTAATAATTGCCAAGTTTTGAACCTCGATTTTGAAATACAATGTCTTCTATATTCTTCATGTGAAATTTGGTCGACGCTCCTTTTGATTTGTTTATTAATAATTATTACTATAGTGGCAATGCAATGTTGTTGTGTAAAGTTTAAGTATAAATAAGCATTAAAATTGTGTTTCATTTATATTTCACGAAAGGTAACTGTTGAAAAACTCATGGGCGCATCTTCGCGTTTAACCTTTTTAGTTTGAAATGTCACAAAGCAATAGTGATGCATTAATCGCTAATGGGCATTAATTTTATAACAGTTTTATTTGCTAATTGCATAAATTATTATTTTTAGACATTGTGTAGGTTGAAAAAAAAGTGATCTGTTGAACTGTAACTTCTCTCTCAAAATAGGTTATTGGACTCTAAGCAATGAAATAAAAATACTCCACCATATATAATATTCTCATTTCAATTAACAAAATAAATAATAAACCCAAACAAGCCCTACAATACCACCCTATATTTAATGATGCAATTCATGCATGAGGCCTCGACGAAACAACTGTCCCTTTCATACATTCTTGAATAAACCAAAAACGTGTCATTAGGGGAAAGGGGATAATCTATTGGACTGTCAAATATACTACTCCCTGTAAATTTTTTTCGTACCTTACCAAAAGGTTTCAAGGTGAATAAAAAAAACAGCTTAAAAATTGCACAATTTTGCTGCTCTTTATTTTATTCTACACAACGTGATATTTTCACCAATGCTCATTAAAGTTTTCTGATGCCTATATTTTTTTTTGGAGGTTTCGCAAAATAGGCTTGTCAATCAAATATACAGCAAGCCCTGCTCTTCGAGCTATCAAAGAAATATTGCGTGGTACTCATTGAAAACCTTATGATAAATTAAAATCTTAACAAAGATTCCGACCGTTATATCTAATCTTGTTTGGATTTTAAGAAGGATGATATTTTGCACGTCAGTGTCAGATTTGTTATTGACATTGATCTATGAACTATCGATAACTATATTCATGTCTGATTGACAATGATCTTTAAAGAAAAGTATCGAGCCATAAATAAAACATAAAAGGATCGATCTAAAAACTACAAATTTTTTTGCTTGTATCTATAATTAAACTTATACATAATGATGATGCTGCTGTAAAATTTAAATTGGTCTTTTCTTTTAAACTTATACTTACCTATAAGTTAGTTCCAGGGAAGTTGTAATTGCCTATTATTATCCTGTATTTATCTGTTGCAACTTATTTATCTGCCTTAGATCATTTATAATTTCACATTACATTTTTAAAAATTATGCAGTGTAAGAAATAGAAAGAAGCACGGTGCAAAATTTTAATTTTTAATAAAGCCCGCGCCCAACAAACAGGAATTGATGTCCTGATGGGGAAACCAAGGTTATCCATGTATTAAATTCCAGTGATTCTTAAGGATTTATTCAATTAACAGTAATGCCACCTAGTACTATAGAAATGAAGAATTGTGCCTATTTATATCTACTAGAAATTTTTTTATTGAAAAATCAGCAATAAACATATATCTAAGAACTAAAGGGGGTGTGACACAAAAATGAAAGTTTTAGTGCAAACCGCATCTTGCTACGATGAACCGTTTTTGAGTTAGGGCGGTTTAAAGTGACGAACGCCTAGGCTGTGATGTGACGTCACACCGGCTTCGGAGGCACAGTATTAACACTTGTAAAATTTTCAAAAACAAAAGACAACGATCTCACTTAGAGCGAATTGCAATCACTGTATAGGGCACGGTTCACTGAGGACTGAACAAACAGGCGGCTGCGATTTTGGCGATTAGCCTGTGTGACGCCACAAATTCTCACAAAATTTGTCTCCATAAGTGATTTTCTCGGATACTATTTTGAATACAGGGTTAATGAATAGTGGGATCAACTTCTAGGATAAACCTAGTACTCATTAAAATAAGACAAAAGTTAATATAAACATGGGTCGGCGAATGCTTATAGTTTTCGAGATAAAGGGCGTCAAAGTTTGAAAAAAAAATCGGCTTTTTAGGTTAAAAATCCCTTTTCCATTTTATTTTTATTTTTTTTCAAATTTGGCAGGATTGTTTGGGATAACAAAAGGTATCTTTTAACTGTTATATGACTTGCTTAATCTAAAAAAAAATATCAAAGTTATAAAAAAATAGTGACGTGCGTGCCATTTTTTTTCTACTTTTACCAATGAAGTTGCCCTCTGGGGCGTCACTGGAATAATAACGGAAAATCTAATTGAGTCAAAAGATACTTTTTGTTATTACAAACAAATCTGCCAAGTTTAAAGAAATTCGGGAAACGAATTTTGAAAAATCGATTTTTTCAAGCTTTGACACCCTGTATTTCGAAAACTAAGCATTTCCGGACCCATGTTTCTTGATACATTGGTTTTAGTGGTCCACTCTGTATAGGGCAGTAAATCTTATTATAGTATAAGTACCACTGAAATGAAGTTCGAAAATGCAAGCTGTGTGCGGGCTAATAAATCTATTTGAGTACCTTTCCTATCCACCCCCTTATTCACTCGTGCAAATTGACCGATTTTTCACGGGCCTGGTGCAAAACAAAAATAGTATCGAAGACTTAGGTTTTCCTGCATCCTTAAAAATAAATCTCGCTTAACAATTCCCGAGACACGTGTCTCTCTTTTACTATTTCCAAGACACGTGTCTCTCTAGATTACACAGAGAGCGACGGAATGACTGGAAGATGATGCGGAGGCTATGACCGTTTCTTCGGGAAAATAATCGAGTTTTGCGAGGAGTTTTGTGAGGTTTAGGGGATGTCGTTGAGGAGTGTGAGAGGGATAATGGCGACCCTTGAAGGACTGCAGCTCTCACGAAATCGTGGGAAGATCAGTGGTTGTCAGCTTCAGCCATGCGCTTCCTATTGTCCAGGATGCTAGCAGTAATTTTGATGGGGTGGGGGAAGTGTAAGTTTTATCTTTTTTTTCAAAAAGCGCTGATGTTGAAAATCAGTGGGTTTGGTTTGGATGCATATTCCATCTATGTGCGGCCGTCCTGGATTAATTTTTCTTGTTTGATTTCTAACCTGAAGAAAACATCGGGAAAATTCGGGAAAGTGAACTTTTGGTGTGATTTTCTTCAGAGTTCCTGGATGGAAATAAAGTTATTCTGTTCTCCCTTCACGGATCTTGAACTTTGTGATATTTATAGATTAGGACGTGTAATGGAAAATCTTTGAGTTACTTGGAGCGCAAATTATTGGAAATGGTGCTCAGCATAAATGACTGCATGGTGTTGTGCATGATATTGGTGAATTTACTCAAACTGGAGAACATGTCGGGGTTCATAGGATAGGGTTAATAGGAAAAGATTGGCATGTTGGCCCCAGACGATTGTGCTGCCACTAGTGGGGGTTCGAAGCGCTTAGTCTCGGGTAAGTCGACTAAATCCTCTCCCTCGCGGTCAAATTGCGTTTTTGTGTGTAATTAGTTCTGTTAGTTCTAAAAAAATGAGATATTTTATCGTATTGGTTTTTATCTGCAACTACAAAGGAAGGATATCAGTTGTTTTGACTTCTAATTATCATTTACTCTTGGTGTGTTTTGGTTGGTTGTTTGAGCTTGAGTTGGCGCATGCGTATATTGTGGACAATTGTGGTCGATTTCCAGTTCTGATCATGTTTTTTTATGTTGGGAGCTCTTTGAATTAGTAGCGATGATCCTTGTTGATTTTTTTTGAATTTTAATTGGAGACCACTACGGCGGAGTGGTATTTCTGCTCCATGTTTTCGGGTCAGGAGTGATGGGTGTTCGTTTTTGGGATGTTCAATCATTGGATTCTGTGTAAAAATTGATGTTCGAAACGATGCGTCAATATTGTACTTCTATTCCAAAAGCAGTTCAATATTGACGCGTTTCACTTGGTTGCATGTCAACAGTTTCTTGTCCAGCGATAAAGTACGACTTTGCGCTCATAATACACAAATAGCTATTTTGCATTATGTAGTACATATATAATGGGAAGCATTGTTACATTCAAAATCGCTTACGAAAGTACCAATTCACTACATAACGTCCTGTTAGGCTATCAAAAACGTTGGTCACAGAACTTTTGCTTTGTAAGAATTTTCAAAAATAAAACAAACAAGCCATTTTTCAGCAAAAATGCGTTAAACACCTCATTAGAAAAGGGTCTTGGCAAGTTTTAGTAAACTCGCTTCGCTTTCTTTTAGTTACTTAAAGTGGTCAAGGTGAAACTTCACTTCACTAAACTTGGTACTTAATATACTATTAGGTACTCCTTATTCTATTACTCTTCACTATGTCATTATACATACTGTAAGCAATTTAACATAAATTTCAGTAACGAAGCGTTTGCCGTGTAATAAGCAAGCCAAGAAAAAATTTCTATTTATGACAATTGCGGAATTATTATTTCCTAAAAACCTTAATTAATCGAAAATTTCATGGTTCACTTGACGGTAATAAATGTAATTATCGCTTGTAAGTCAAGAAAGTACCTATGCAATGTGTGTCGTGATTGCTTACAGCAGAAAAACAATAAGGCGAGAATGATGTTAAAATATGTTGTGTAATAATTTAGTCAATGGAAACTTTTTTCGCGCCAGACCGCTTATTTTCTGGCAAGTATTGAAGAAAATGTTGATTGAATGTTAAATTGTGTGTATGATGCGTCTAATAGGACCTATTAAGTATACATCAACGTATACACGCTTCAACTTTTATTACTATAATCAATATGTTTATGAAGATCGTGTGACCCCAATCACATTTTTCATTCACTATCTATAGACTATAATGCTTGTTTTTTTTTTGTTACAGAATCCAGAAAACCACCGCAGTTCAAAATATTGAGGAAAAAGTCGAGGAAATCATTGAAAGTGGCGAGTTATAGTTCCAACACTGACGATGGCCAAGAAAATGGCACAAAGAGAATGAAATAGTCAACCAAAAATAAAAGAACAAAAAATGCATCCAAGTGCCTTTCTGTCCCTAAAATTTCATCATAGTTTTTCCCTTTTTTTAATAGTTTATATTGCACATATCTGCCAAGCATGGTTGCCAGACACAAGCACTAAATTTAATAGTGCAAATAAAATTTCCAGTATAAGTTTCACAGGAAATTCAAGTAATAACGATGATCATTTTATCATCTTGTATCAAGACCAAGAGACATTATTGTTGGGCGGACGCAATCGAATATATAATCTATCAATTTTTGACTTCACTGAGCGGAAAAAATCAGAAATCTTTTGGCCATCTTTAGAAGCCCACGGACAACTGTGTATTCTTAAAGGCAAAAGTGAGGAAGAATGCCAAAACTACATAAGAGTTATGTTTAATACTAGTCCAGGAAAACTTCTAGTGTGCGGAACCAACTCATTCAAGCCACTATGTCGGAACTACGTTTATAAGGTTAGTATTATCACGAGTGTTTTATTGTGCGTGCTATTATCATAACAGGGTCTTAATTCAATTTAGTTTTATTGACCCTCTTTTTATTACATTATTTTAAACGAGGTATATTCCTTTGAGACGTTGAACTTCCCTTTGGTTTCTTTTTTTCTTAGATCATAACGTTTTGATAAATACATGACACTTAAATTTGGAATATAGGAATAAAGTGCCTATATTACTTGACTTGAATGTTCAGAATTTTATAAAAGTTCATAAAACAGGATTTTTACCCAGAAATAACTAGTACGCTTCCATATTTTGCATGGTATCTGTATATTATCTGCTGATTGTTATTCATTGATAAGTTAGCTTTAAAACATGGTTTTGAACAAATTACCTTGGTTCATCATACCAAATAATAACCATCAAAAAAAGCATATCAAATTTCTATAAACTAGAATATAACGGTATGGAAGATTGGATTAAGAATTGATGAAAATAGCCTCAATTTCGGGCTTGTTAAAAGTAGGTGATTTATAGGTAGATATTTACTGATAGAGTATATTTATATTCTCCAAATTAGTCTCTTACGTGATTATTTGAAAAAATCTTTATAATTGGGCAAGAGTTTTTGTATTCATTTTTTTTTTTTAACTTTTCTGTTACAACGGATCAGAGACTCCGTTCCGGTTTCTATTCTATGGTACTTTGCGGTAAAATAATGTTACGTGTGCGAGTTCACAAATAACTGAGACCACTCTTCCGGACTTAAATAAACTTTCTTTGAGAAAATAATACAAAAATTACGATTATACTATATAGCACCATTACAACACTTCCTATTACTCGTACACACTTGGATCCTTATTTAATTCTCTAGATTATTCCCTTCTTACAAGTACCAAATATGGGAGGGTTGATCCATAAGTAGTAGTTTACACGAATATTTCACTGAAAATCACTAAAAAAATGCATATTGGTATTAGACCAAAAAATACAATCAAGGAATACTGGATGGTAGGTATGTAAAAAAGTTTAAATTTTTAAGTAGCTGGATTCCACTGAATTTTTGAATTTTCTATGTATAGTTTTATTGAATTTACTGTTGGTTCTGAATGTCTATTATTTTCATTCAGCACCAACATTAAGTTTTTAGAAGCAAAAAGAGACGTTACAGTCTGTATATATACAAAATTATTTGAAACAGAAAAAGGTCTTGGCTTGCGGAAAATAAATGTTATAAATCATAAGGGAGGGCCATTCTACAAGTGAGTTCAAGGGCTCTGTTATTTTGGGCTCTGATGGGGCTGAGACTTCGCATTCATGGGGTTATCCCTGGTACCCACCATGCGGTACTGCGAGATTGTGCACAATTTCCCTTACTTGGTGAAAACCTAAGTTCGGCAACGTCGCATCATTGTATGGATTGAGGTAATTTATAACAATGACCCGTTTGGTTGCATATAACTTATATTATTATTGGCCAGCCTTTGTACATGTAAGGCACGCATCAAATCTAGACCAATTCTTTGATCTTCTAGACTAGACGACTCTGTGTGGCTCTTCCCAGGGTCTCCGTAATTCCAGGCTTCGTTCGTTCTTTCACCTTTTCCAGCCCATACGCTACACTGCAGCCTTGGAGGCTTTTCGTATCTTATTGTATGGACTCTACTCCTTCCCATTCATACTTGGAGATTCAATCTCCATCCTGACATCACGTTGCTTGGTCTGGTTACGGCGACCTGCGTCCTTTATCGAGAAGTAATACCGAGCTTCAGGCTTAGTCCCTTCCTTCGCTGTGGCTGATACAACCATGACAGCGTCGCCTTCATTGAAGTTGTGTGAAGAAGTCTCATTTCCAGTCTATCACTGGTAAGACGTAGGTACTTTATTTTTGGCAAAATAGTGAACTTCTCTGAATTTCTCCGAAATATCAGCCACATTTATTGATAGTACAGCTTCTGCCCAAACATTAGATTTATGGGAAGCTCTATTTCTCTTCCAGTCGACAGTATGGATGGTCTATAACTGGTACATTCATGCTGAGGAATTCTATGAGCCAGAAGGAAAAGAGGCATCCGTTTATCCTAGTTTTGCTGCTGCTTATTTACAAACATTTAGAGTTATTGAATTGCTGGTCCGATGACGCCTCCCGACGACCATTCCGTTGGACTATGGATGAACTGAAGTCTTTCACGCTTTTCTTTTCTATACTTCGTACGATATTCTCCATTTATGGTTCAGTGATTGGGGATTCTGGCCGCTTTCAAAAATAGTCAATATCTCGGTTTATATCTGCCATAAGTTACTTATTTTTGCATTCTGTTGCAGGATAGGGATCTGCGATACTTACCGCAATTCTCTCCCAGGATTAACCAGGCTCCTTCATTTTTCCCAGGGATCCTGTCTCGGGTATCTCTTGCACAATTCTCCAAAATCCCTAGGACAGTTGATCCAGTATTACCAATATCTTAGTCCAGCCAATATGACGTTCCTATCGATTCTCCGTCTACTTTTCACTTCACTTAGCACAGTTTCCGCCTTATTTCGCGGCACAACGGTCAGCTATATTGCTTTTTTCCATCTGGAATATCCTATTTACTAGTGAGGCACTCGCAGGCACAACAAACGCCTATCACTTACACATCGCAGAGTCCTTAGAAACCATTGTTTTGTATCTTCACGATATTTCTTTTCAATGAAGAACATTTGTAATTTGAGAGCTCAAGACTCAGTGGTCGCCAGCGTTAGTCCCCGTACACTGCCAGGTGGCTTTTCCCTAATGTCTGAAGCCACATACTGTCTCCGTATCGCAGTGTTCTGAAACTTGTCTACATCAGTTTCTACTGTCCTTCGCGGTCGCAGTCGAAGCATTTTATTGACTTTTGGAATTTGAATCGCGGTCTCCCTTCTAAACGAAAACGTTACCCACGTTGTTGGGTTCATCGCTTATTCTTTCTTTTTTTCTTGTGCAGTTTTCTGTATTTCTTCTCGAATTCTTTGTGGATCACACCTAGTTTTCCTATGACCGTACCTTGTCCGTTCCTATGTTGTCTGACTTCTTGTAAAATTTTCTGGAGTCGGTCCTGTTCTAGCTGTCGTTTATCCAATTTCTGTTCTGGTCATCCTCCAATTGTTCACAAACCCAATTTGTAAATTCAATACGAGATACATAGTCTCTTTGCTGCAAGGCTTGTATACGCTGGATTTGGTATGGAGTCATCCAGTCCCCATTGCTGTTTGTCAAAATGGCACCCAATTTTGATAAAGTCTCAGTTTGTGACCCAAGAAATGTTGTAAATTTGCATTAATAATGGTCGACATGTTGCATAGAAAGGAAAAATGGTAACTATGATATATTTAGGAAACTACTTCCCGATAAATCAGAATGTTTACGCTACAGATGATTACCGTTGCTATTTTAAACAGATCACCACGTATATTTGAAATTTTTTCCAAGTTTCCATAAAAAAAAAAAAAAAATCTGTGCCTATCCACATATGATTTATGAAAAAAAATTTATTGTGATATTATTCAGATAGCGAGTATAATAATACAATTCGTTTTTTCATTAACTTTTTGTACCTAAAAAAAAGGAAGGGTATAAGGAAGAGGGACAAATAAGACGTTTCACAATGAATCCTGGCCGAAACCTCTAATAAAATCTTCATAAGTTTTGACTAGTTATTTGTAAAAACATGAGCTTTTTTCGGTTATGATAATATACTGACCTAGTCTTTTGTTCGGTACTGATTTGAAAAAAATGAGTTTGTGCCCTCCTAAGTTAGATGAACGATTACGATAAGGATTAATGAAAACCAGCCATTCATATTAATCTGTTAAAAATATTTCAACGAGTTCTTTTTATACCACCACGCAGAGCATGAATAATAAAATAAACCGAAGACTTGAAACAACAAAGACTTGCTTTACCAGTCACCAGTGACTCTTGTATGCACCGTATATAAAGTAGGGAGCAAATTGTGGCGGCCATAATATAAAAGGAATATTTAATTTAATTGGTCTAGATTGGGTGGGACTTGACCTGAACGCACCTCACCTCATATTATGAGAAAGTGAAAAACCTTGTTATCAACTTAAAACTGGATTATAACCACAAACAAGAAAATGTTTACTAGAAAATTAAGCGGAGAAACAAGATTTAATAGAGAGCGTCAAGACGTTGTGGAAAGTATTAACTTTACGTAAATGACAATTTTCATTTGAAAAACATAAACATTAAAATAACGATTCTAGACTAAAATAACGTGCTGGGTACTTATGGAAATCAAGTTCAAATTCAGTATATACGGCTAACAAGTCAACAAAAAAATTTCAAAATAGATTTTCCAAATTCTGAGGGCTTGGTTACATTCATCAGCACTTAGCGCCACTGTAGGAAAAGTTCGATCCTCACCCAACTCTAGAAATTTTTTGAATATTTACTTCATATCTAAGAATATATCTGATGAAATACATAATTTTTACACCTTTCTAACAAAATTTATAGTGTCCAGCATAATGTTCGGTACATGGGAAAACTTATTTTTAGGAAATACGTTTTTTTTATGTGTGATTGATCTTGCATGTCTGACATTTTGATATCGGGCACGTGATTACTGTCATGGCGGGAAAATTCGAAAATTTCTATATGGAAACGCCAAAAATATCAATAAAAGCTCTTTTCAATTGCAGTATCAACAAGAAATTATTAGAAACGTCACTAACTAACTGTCAAGATACAGGGTATTAAGAATTTATGTTTGTTTTGCCATTACACTTTAGATATTCCGTTACTTGGACTAGTTCAATATTAAAACTGTATAATATTATTTGATAATATTTTATTATTTTGCTTCAAACTTCGTAGATGGCCCTAAAACATCGATCCAAACACTTCTTTAAAATAACTTTTTCCGATATTTTGTCATCCAATCCCACTTTTGGCGTTTCCATATCGAAATTTTCAAATTTGCAGCCATGACAGTGATCACGTGACCGATGTCAAAATGTACGTT